TGTCAGGCTGTGTAGAGCTCTCTCCGTCTCCTCTGCCAAACCGCGGCGACAGGTCTGCCTCTCCCAGTATGTGTGGATGTGAGCCCCACCATAGGCACAGTCTGCCTGGCTTACAGCAACTGTCACGGGTTATGGAAGAAGACAGAGAAGCATCCAAAAAGCACAGGAAGAGGATAGCACTGCACACAGCTACATAAAGAGATTCAGTTACTGACGGACTGAGCTATTCGGCTATTCAGGAGCTAGTCCGTCAAAACCGCTTACTGGGAATCTGGTTTGAGACCGAAACGTTTGAGAGTGATTTGGGGAATGTGTATTTCGGATGAATTTAGTCTATAGAATGATTGAATTATGAAGTCAACTTAGTCCCCCCCCCCACACACAGTTCATGTAGTGGGGGGGGACTAAGATGACTTCATAATTCAATAATGTGCCTCTCTCGTTAATTCACTTTCTGGCTCTTGCTCACCCATCCATCCACCCACAGGCTGGCACATTTAATCACTCTGTCACTCTCCCCTGGTTCTCTCTATCACACACTGAGGTGCTATCAGTGTGCACACACATGTAAACACAAATACACGCAGACACACCCACAAACCCACACGGACACATACTGGCACACACACACCGAGCCCCCACAGTCTATAATCGTGCACTTTAGATGGAAATCTATCTGTGTCAGGTGTCAATTCTCCCCTCCCTCACCCCTCTCTCCCACTCTTTTCACAAATTGCAGAATCCTATGTCAGGTGTGTGTATTTTCTCTCAGAACATACGTCACTCACACACACACACAGACAGCGGTTCATATGAATGATAATGGCCATCAATAATACCTGCCTCTGACTTGATCCGTCCGCTCATCCTTTTAAACGAGAATCCTCTGCAATATCCCCTCTCCTCCTTCCTCCTCCTTCCTCCCTCTCTTTCTTCCCCTTCCTGTTTTGGGTAGCTGTAGCGCCAGTGTAATTGTGAGGTTTTTATCTGGGCCTGCACGGGGCATGCAGACAGACAGAATACTGATAGGGCAGATTACACAGGGAATGGGGGACATCCTGCCAGATAGCACTCCACCGCTGGGCCGGCTGATAGACCCAGATTAAAAGCGGGGGCCACTGCCAGATAGTGAGCCCTGGGAGGGTGGATGCTGGGCCACAACACAACGTCATTATCGAAGGTCTGTCTTTGTGGCTCACACAGATTCTGATTTAAGGGTGTGGGCTTTTTTGATGGCGGGGGCTTATTCGTGTGTTGAATGATTTAAAAGGTTGCGTTGAATTTGGTGACTGCCGTCACTGTCACAGAGAGGCATACTATATGTAGGGGAATTGACATGCACTCTACGGGTGGGTATGCATGTGCGGGCACACACACGCACACACAATGTAGTGGCATTCAGATTTTCTCAGAAACATTTACAATTTTTCTACCATCTACCCAAATATGTATTGCTGTCCCGCAGTATCTTAGTGGCATTGTTATGAGCTCATTTACCTATGCCAAGACTCAGGGAGACACACACACGTAAACATACATACACACATAGGCACTCCAGAGATGCGGGATGCCTCTGTAGCACTACACTCATCTCCTTTCCTCCCCAAGTCAGTTTTAACCCAGCTTGTAGATGTAGTGCTGTACACTGTACTTACAGCCTGTTAACTTCTCTGACATGATTGGCAGATACGTGTTGGCTCAATCACTCAAGTCTTTTTTTGTATGTATATACACACACGAGCGAGAGACGGGGGGGAGAGACAAGTAGAACAAAGAAATCTCTGCGTGGCAAGATGGCTGTAGGAAAGAACAGAAAAAAGAGACAGAGAGCGGAGAGATGGATGGAGGCAGGGAGGGAGAAGGAGAAGGGGAGAAAGAGATGTTCACACACACTCATTCTCTGTGGTGGTCCTGAGGGACTACAGCTCCACTGTCTGTCTTCAGTGATAGCGAGAAGCAGCGTAGTGCACCTTTGTTGGCTGCGTCAAGATGGACGGCATGTGCAGCTGTGGAACACAGAGGCCATTTTGTGCCAAATTGTATTCGTTACCTGCAATAGAGCCGCCGCCACCACCACATCGTCTTCTTTGTCTGCACAATGTAACATAATTTTATACTGCACCTTGGTTGGCTGCATGAAGATAGAATCCATGTGCAACTGTGAAGGCGGGGGCCATTTTGTGCCAATCTACCTGCCTGTTGCATAGCTGTCTTTTACTTTATTATCATTTATTTTTATACTGCACCTTTGTTGGTTGCTGACAGATAGAAGGCATGTGCAACTGCCTATGACTCAGAAGCCATTTTGTGCCTGTTCACCACCTGCATAGACACCTGCCAGAACTGAGCCACCACACCACATAGCTTCATTGCCTTCCACACCATGAAAAAATCTTGGACTCAAAATGAAAGGGAGTGGATCTGTTTGTGTCAAATCCGTCTATCTTTCCCTCCATGTCATTCTGTGGAAGCTATCTATGATGGGGGCTGTTAAAGCTGTGGTGTTGCTCATCTGTCTGGTTAGCCACGGGGTCTGGTCCTATATTACAGTGGAGCCCTGAAGGTCGTAACCTCCGGTCTATTGCCTGTGGAAATGAGGCTTAGTCTGCCGCAGCCAATTCAGTCTCCTCTCAGCATCCATTTCCTTTCATTCAGACAGGGTCAACCCCATGAACACACACCAGCTGCTTTCAGACTGGACGGCAAACTAGATATTAGTGTGTGTCTAGGTGTGTGTGTGTGGGGAGGGGGGGGGGGGGGGGTTCTGTGTGTGTGCCGGTGCGAGATGGAATGTTTGTGGGTTTGGGTATGTGTATTACTATGTTGGTCTATGTAACTTAACCCCTGTCCTTTCCAAGTGTGTGTGTTTTTTTACACTGTATATTTCTGTTCTTGCAACTACACTACCAGGGTGTGTAGTGTTATAATGTTCTCCCTTGGAGTGTGTTAGTGTTTTCGAGACTCAAGACAAGCCTGTACTACCACCGTGTTTGGGTATGTGTCCGCAGGTATGATTCTGTCAGATGGAGTTAAGTTGTGAGCCGGACTCATGTGAGTTTGAAGCAGTCAGTCCCATGCATAATTCATCACAAAGGAATGGCAAACAATGGCCTGGAGTTGTAGAAGGTAGAGTAAGTTGACAGTGTGTTCTTAGTGTATCTAATACAGCACTCACTGCTCAAAGTAGTGCCTCTCGTCCTCTTTCTCTCTCTTCACTGACACTATTGACGTATTTCACATGGGATGTGTGTGCTTGCGTGTGTGTCTGATTGTGCCAGTATCTGTCTGTGTGCCTGCCTATGCTTGTGTGTGTTTGTGTGTGTGTGTGTGTGTGTGTGCGTGCGTTTCTTTGTTTATGGTGTGGACAAAACATGCTTTTTCCATGACTTAGACTTACCAGGTGAAAGCTATGATACCTTATTGAATTCACTTGTTAAATCCACTTCAATCAGTGTAGATGAAGGGGAGGAGACAGCTTAAAGAAGGATTTTTAAGCCTTGAGACAATTCAGACACTGATTGTGTATGAATTAATGAATGAATGAATGGGCAAGACAAAATATTTAAGTGCGTTTGGACGGGGTATGGTAGTAGGTGCCAGGTGAACCAGTTTGTGTCAAGAACTGCAACGCTGCTGGGTTTTTCAGGATCAAAAGTTTCCCATGTGTATCAAGATTGTTGAGGCGCTCCTGGGTATAGACCTCTGCTTTTTACTGAGTTGAGAGTAGGTGGAGATAGATACACCCCCCCCCCCCCCCCCACACACACACACACACACACACACACACACCCACACACACGGCAATGTATGCTTGCACATACAGTACAAATACACACACATTCTGAGGATTTCTATCAGATGGCTTTCTGTCTTTTACCAGTCCATTTCACTCTATTGTCTCATCATTGAGTTGCTGCCTGTGGCTGTAATTGAACAGTCTGTGGCAGGCTGTGTGCAGCCCTCATTAGCTGCCAGTAAGACACAGACCAATATGAGGGATACTCCGAAAGACGAGGTCGGCTCTGGCTTTGATCCTCACCTCAAAACGACTTCAATACTGGTCCCACTGAGAGGGAGACTGAGGGGCAGGGTCACACAGGGTGTGGGTGGGTGTGTGTGTGTGTGTGGCTGCGTACGTGTGTGCTCGTATGTATTTGACAGAAAGGAAGTTGTAAAAACAGAGAGTGTGAGTGGAAGGTGACAAGAGGTCTCGAAAGAGATTAGAAGTAAAAGGAGGAGGGTTGAGGAGACAGAAATTCTGGACTAGTCAGAATTGACATGGGAGAGAGGTGAAAGAGGTTTAGAAAGAAAGAGCGAATTGCACACATTGAAACATGGCTCAACAGATGGACAGAAAATACATAGCAATGAAAAGAAAATGAATGTCTACTGACTATTTGCTGCTCATTAGCAATATGTTAATTGTGGTAATAACATAAGGCTTCAACCATACTGGTCTTTGACTGACATTGAGCTGCACTTAAGTGTTACTTTTGAGGTTTGAGTGACAGCTAATTTTGCCTTACCTCGTTAATGACTTCTTAATTATAGCTTGACGAGTCGGCGGAGCCTTCGGAGCATCAGTGGTAACAAGGGACGTTTTCCTAGTCACTTCAGGTTTTGTGGTCAAGGAAGTATTTCTCATAGAATGTGGAAATGTATTTTTACACTGTTCATGGTCAGTGTTCATGTACTGGATATTATTGAGTCCGAAACAACATTTCTGAGCAGGGCTGAGGCTGAGAGGGAGAGAACATCTCAACCCACCCTCCAGCCATCAATGAATACAATGATTTATCTTCATCCAGATCTGCATGGAGACCCACTCCACTCACTGCTAACATCATGTAACTTTTATGACTTCGATGAAGTCGTCCCAGACAGAACTTTGATAAATACATTTAATTATTGATTTTCTTCTCTCCCTTTCACCCTCTTTTTCCCCCTCTGTCTGTCCTTTCCCCTTTTCTCTCTCTTTGTCCATCCTCCTCTCACTAGCGCCCTCTCTGGTGAGTGAGTTGCGTGCGGAGAAGATTGAGCAGCGCAGCCTCACCCTGGTGTGGAGGGAGCCTAGCTACCCCAACAGCAGCCGCACCGAGTACGAGATCAAGTACTACGAAAAGGTAAATAAATAAGCGTCATTCCGTCATATACGGTCCACTCCGTCACATTTCAACTGTCAACTCCGTCACATTCGGTCAACTTCATCGCGTTACATTTAATCTCAAGTCCACTCTGTTACACCCGTCCACTCCGTCACATTCACTCTTAAAAAAAAAAAAACTATTTCACACACTCAACTACTCTACTCCGTCGCACTCCCGCTCAACTATACTCTCAAATCATCACTTGGCGCACTCCCTCTTTCAACACTTCTCTCTTTCTCCCTCATCACATCCCACTCTTGGTGCGCCATCCATCACATTCATCTCTGTCAATACCACCATGCCACATATTAACGGTCTCCACAGGGACTCTCATTACGCCTGTCAGTCTCTCTCTGTGTGCACGCTCTCTCTTTTCTCTCTATGCCATGTTTATTCATGCACACGTATGACAGCATTGAAGAGCACGCACCTCCAAATCCTCATTACCGCATAACGACAAGCAAATGGGCACACACCACTCACACACACCACTCACACACACATAAACATTCATTCAGACACACACGCAAATCCTAGGGTTTTGGCTACCTTAAAGCTTTGGTGAGTTCTCTCCATATGTTGTTTTGATTCTGAAGGTTTATGCATGTCGTCTCACTGCCTATAACCTTTAGAATCAAATTCATTTTGAATCACATAAGTCTGCTTTTATTGTTTTACATATTGTCAGCCATACTAATACGGCGCTCCTGGAGCAAATTAGGGTTAAGTGCCTTGCTCAAGGGCACATCGACAGATCTTTCACCTTGTCGGCTCGGGTATTTGAACCAGCGACCTTTCGGTTACCAGCCTAACGCTCTCTGAGTGATCGTATGACACGCATAGACCCCACTCAGAATCAACAAAGGGAGAGAAAGGGAACGGTCAAAATAGTTAATTATAAGATAATAATATATGCCATTGTATCCAAAGCGGCTTACAGGCATGCGTGCATATATTTTACGTACGGGTGGTCCCGGGAATCAAACACACTATCCTGCCGTTGCAAGCGCCAACTGAGCTCCAGAGAACCACATAAAAAATACAAAAAGTGTCTTGCAACAGAGAGTATACCCGCTTGGTGCTCTCATAGTTTTAACGTAGCAATGTTTCGACACACTTCTTTCAAACTTTCTTTCTTGCCACTCTCTCTCCTCCCTCATTCAGGAACAGAAGGACAAGAGCTACTCAACGGTCAAGACGGCCGCCACCCGCATCAGCGTCAACAACCTCAAGCCTGGCACCACCTACGTCTTCCTCATCCGCCCTTTCTCCACCCCGGCCCCCTCCTCCCTCCTCTCCGCCTCCTCCTCTTCCTCCTCCCCTTCTCCCATCGACTACGGAGGCTACAGCGCTCCCCTGGAGCTGCAGACGCTTGGCGAACGTGAGTATGCCCATTTTCCTCTCTATCTCGTTCCAACGCCGCAAGGCAGCTTGGGATAGGGCCGTGTGGGTGTCCGGACAGCCCACACAATGAGGCCTCCTGTTTGCTAAAGACAGAGGTGTGTGTGTGTGTGTGTATTCTCCCATGTGCCTGCTCTTAAACAATATGTGTGTGTCCGTTCCAATCCGCAGTGGCGCTGGCGTCCAGTGAGCAGAACCCAGTGATCATCATCGTGGTGGTGTCTGTGGCCGTCCTCATCATGCTACTCTCTATGGGAGTGGGCCTGCTCCTCTGGAGAAGGTACACATATACAGATACACACACTCAGAGACAGTGTGCACGAACACACACGTACAGATACACACACTCAGAGACAGTGTGCACGAACACACACACACGTATATACAGATACACACACACACAGACAGTGTGCACGAACACACACACACACACACACACACACACACACACACACAGATATAACACATACAGAGACAGTGTGCACAAACACACACACACACACACACACACACATACAGACACATATATTCACAACACACGCACACAACACACACAATTACATCTGAAGAAGGTACACACATAATGTGCACGCACGCACACAATAAGCACACACACACACTCCTAAACACACACACTCTCAGTTACAGCTCATGCAACTCCATCATAATCCTGATTACAATAATCCAATGACTAGAAGCACTCTGCCTCAAAGCATGTAATCAGAATGAGAAATGCTTTAATGCATGTTCAATCAGCTCAGCTCAGAGCCACTGTAATATAGAGCATTAACAAGGATCTTTAGATAGGCTATTGTCAATGCTGGGGCAGAAATGCTAAATGGTTGTATCGTTTTCATGATTTAAATTAGACTTATCCTCTTTGGCTTGTGCTCTTACTTTGTCATTCAACCATAGTTTTGTGTACATTATTTACAGTTGTCATGCACAATTGAGTACTTTCACAATGGTTACCAAAGTAGTAACTACATGACATAAGGGCAACTCCATGTTGTTGCCAAGATATTTTGCAAAAAAATGTCATTGTGTGCACAGAAGTCATGTGTGTTTTATTCAGTTCAGTGGAGAGATGGAAAGTGGTTTTCTGCTTGCCATTTCAGCTCTGTGCACTTTGACATCTAAGTCTATAGAAAACTCAACTCACACGCCCACACACACTCCCCCGCGCTCTCACACACTCCATCACACATGCTCCAGCATGTTGGCATGCAGACTCCACACCCCCACGCAGTCGCACACAATTACACACGAACACACACACGGCCGCAATCAGATCATACATTTACATTTGACCCATTTGGCCGACACTCTTATACAGAGCCAATCACAGTCCGTGCATTTAATATGGAGGCTGAACCATCACATAATGTTAGTCTAACATGCTGACCACAACGCTCGCGAGTACATTTACACATACATGTTATTCAATCATTGCACCCACACTGCTCGTGCGCGTCAACGAGTGTCTGCATAGCCAGGTGCTAAAATAGTACTTGGTTCTATTTGTGACGCTTGACACGCTGCTAGTCCCGCCTCTCCCATTTCGTCATTGGTTTTTAGTAGCATATACTCACATGGGTGATTGAAAGATTAACTGAGGTCCACACTCCAGTCCAGTTGGTGGTGGTAATGCACCTTAAAGTTGGTTGCCAACCGCCATATAAAGTCCAAAGAAGAAGCCTGAAGGAGGAGAGATTACTAGAAACGAACTTGGTTTACCCTTTTATCTGTGGATTAATTGTCGGAGTAGAGGACTTTGTGCATTTCAGGTAAAATAACAACCCAATGTTTATATCCCAGGACAAATTAGCTAGCAACAGCAAGCTAGCTAGCTAAATTGCCATAAATGTTTAATGCTTTTCGACCCAAATTAATATAGTTGGTTCAGAGTTCGTTTTGATATTTCAACCTGCGTGTCCTGTTCACGTCTGGTGTGGGTGGACAAAATCAACATGCGCACGATGGCGGTCTGGTCAGCGTGTAAGATAGTAACATATGATACACACACACACACACACACTCAGTCACTGACTTATCACCCAGATGTGATAGCATAGCTCTTTTCAGCCAGTATCTTTGTGTAGAAGAGATGTCCGACTATACAAACCCTCTATTTCCTTCAATTTTTCTCCTGCTCCACATTAATCTGGGAGATGGGATTAGATGGAGGGAGTGTCAAATAGCTTCCATTCATTCATTCATTTTTACATTTTAGTCATTTAGCAGACGCTCTTATCCAGAGCGACTTACAGGAGCAATTAGGTTTAAGTGCCTTGCTCAAGGGATTTTTCACCTAGTCGGCTCGGGGATTAGAACCAGCGACCTTTCGGTTACTGGCACAACGCTCTTAACCACTAAACTACCTGCCGCCCCAGGCACCAACACAATACGCTGAGGACGCACAGGAACTGTTAATCACATACGCGCTTATTGTGCTTACACATCCACACACACGCACACACACACACACAGGGATATGTTGCACACACTGGCCAATTACACCTTCACACCGACGTGCTTAATGGACCCGACACACACTCGCTCAGATACTGTACTTTATTGGCACATGCCCACATACACACAGACACAATCCTGCGGACACGCCCCTATGTCCAGAATCCCTACCAGTGTGAACCAATTGACCTTCATTGAGAATGGATCTATTCGAAACTATTCATCCCAGAATGCTTGCATCATTCATCAATCTATGAGAATATGGCTATTAGCCGGCTCTTCTCATCCTCAGACACAGGCAGATGGGTGATGCCTCAATTACCATGCTTTCATGTTTGCAAATATGGCTGACCTCCGATATCACCACAGGGCTACAATTACAGATGATCTGCTCACTGAGACGGGCACACACACGCGCACGTACACGCATGCACACACACACAAATGTATGCACGCACACACACTCTGTCTGACCACATAGATTATCTCCACTTGAATGAAATGGCCATGTCAGATCAGGCCGTTTGAAATTGCGTTTGGGGTCGGCTAGATGTGTTTTGCCTGGAGGTCATATGGTATATACATGAATCTCTCCCATCCCTCCTCCCCACTCTCCCTCCCCCCTTCCTCTTAGAGACCTCGTTATGAGTTATGGACACATTACTGGAACACACACATGCAGACACACACACACACACACATAGTGTGAGACGGAGACATTGTCATAGCCATGCACACACTGACACTGACACGCACAGTGATTGCCACACTGCATATAGAAACAGACACTTTCCTACTTTAGTTTACATGAAGAGACAGATGCATCACACACACATTTCGTTCCTGCTTGACAATGTTTGACAGTGCCAAGGTTACAGGGCAGCAGCATCCCCTAATCTCTCCAGGAAGTTCAAGCTTGGCTGGTCAGAGCACTGATTGTTTACCCTCTGCCGCCTCTGGACTGTTGGTCACACGGTCAGCGGGGAGCGGGGAGGGGGGAGAGAAATAAATATAGTATGAAGGAAAGAAAGATCGGTGTAGGTGGAAAGCCAGCGCGTAAGTGCATGGACTGTGACACAATCATAGGAGGGGTGGATGAGACAGAAAGAAAGAGAGGCTCAGTCCCTTGTCACGCTTGCTGCACGCCTGGGACACACCAGTGCTTTCCAATCAGTGTTCTCCTCCATTGGGCAGCAACCTCCTCCATTTTGGATCTGCCCCCTGTGCTCCACTACTTTTCTATTTCCCGTTTTTGTTTTGCTCACTTCCTCCTTGCACACCTGACCTATAGTCCCATATGTCCCTCACTCCCTCAGCCTAGCTCTCCCCTTTCTCTTTTATATCAGTACATGCTCTTCACAAGGTGAATCCCAATACTCTAAAATGGCCTCCTTTACAGAGTTTGGCAGAATTTCCCATATGTTGGCAGACTACATAGCAGTCTAATGTGCTACTCACTGGAAGAGATAAGAGGTTTGCCAAACTCTTCGGTATATCTAGGCTCTGGGTGAAAGCGCCATGCATACCTTTTGGTTTACATCCAGCCTGTCCTATTACATCAAACGGAAAGGAAGCCATTTCAGAGAATTGGGGCACACCACCTGTCCTGTAGCCAATGAGGAGAGAGGTAGTGATTTAGCTCCGCCCCCCTGCCTTTCTTCTCTTCTACCCAGCAGCCTCTCGTCCAGCTCCTCCAACATAGCTCCTACTAGCGTGGTGCTGCTCTCCACCTCCTTCTCCACTCTTCCTCCTACTCCTCTTCCTCCTCTTTCTCCCTACACACAGCTGTCAACCCCCAGGTACAGGCATGTCTGCACTCCTCCCCCCTTCTCCCCTGTTCCTCCCTTTTTCCTTTCTTCCCTTCACCCATTCTTCCACTCTTTCTCCCTCATTCTTTTCCTGCCTGACCCAGTCCAACTCCACCGCCCCAGTCTAGACAGAGAGATGATGAAACAATGAAGCTGCCCCCTCCTCTCCTTGTGTGTGTACTTTAATGTGTATACTATTTTGATGCTTATTGTGGTGCTAAACAGGGCTCAACTGGAAAAGAGACCTTGGTCTCGGCATTGACTCCCTGTCAAAATAAAGGTTAAATAATAATACTTTTTCTTTTAAAATAGACCTTGGGCCTGGTTCCATTTGGATCCCTAGCCCCTTCCCATTTGGATTTCACAGATGACAATTGATACATTATGGTGGAGGCTCCGCTTAACCTATTGGAGAGCTAGATGGAGCTTACACCTGTCCGTGCTTTCAGACCTGTGAAATGTGCAGGTATAGGGGCTAGGGGCTGTTGTATGCCCTTTGCGCTCTTGCCCCCTCTCTCTCTCTCTCTCTCTCTCTCTCTCTCTCTCTCTCTCTGCATGTGTCTGCTGGTTGGTCCTGACAGATTGGCCCTAAAGGCTCGTTGTCTTATTTTTCCCCACTCCTCTCCTCTTCTCTCTCTCTCTCTCTCTCTCTCTCTCTCTGGCCCTGCAGTTTAAGAGTCTGTGTATGTCAGCCTCCCCTCCAAACCTGTCTTTCCCATCGCACTGTGTGTGCATGCACTGGTGATACGGCTTGACGTGCGCATTAACACACATGAACAGACACAAACAAGGACACGCACACAGACAACGCACACACGGCAGACAGCCAGACACACACACACACACACAGACATGCATTCACACACACACAACAGACATACACACTAATGCACAGTTGCAATCACCCAAAAACAATGACGTGCACTCGCACTCTC